GTCGTCCTGACTGATGGTCGCTGGCTGTCGCACGACCGGGTCGCCACTACTCGTCCTGTCCTCCACAATCACCGACGGTTCAGACACTTCTTCTTGCACGGCCGAACCACTGTAGCACTTTTCTTCATTTTCACTGGCTCTCTCGTCTAGAACCACACTACATCCACCACTACCCCGGCTTTGGTCATCATCGGGCTCCAAGCTCACTTCCCCGTCGCTTCGAGTCCTTGAGTCAACGATCACACCTTTATGAACTTCCTCCTGCGCGGGCAACACTTCCTCGAGCTTGTCAGCTGCTTCCTGGGACTGGTCGGCGGCTGAGGGGGTCTCCGCCACACGGAGAGGGGCGGGGGGGTTCTCCTTCTTGCAGCTCCTGAGCGCCGAGGTGCGATGCAGACAGTCCTCAACGCGGATCTGGACGTGTCGCCGGAGCTTGCTGTTGTTCGTCTCCTCGAGGACCTTCTTCTTGGATCCGCGGGTGCAGTTTCTCTTTTTGTTGCCCTTATTCTCGAGGTCCTCCTTGTTGGTCAGATCACAAACACTGCTGTTCCCGCGAGGCTCGGCGACTCTCCGTTTTCTTTCAGCCCGTGTCTTGTTGTGTGTTGCTGCAGGTGCTCCTGTAACAGAAGGGGATTTCCTCGTCAGGCAGAAAGCAGATACATCATCGTCACAAAAAAAACATGGGAATTAACAGCAGAAGTAGCCTGAGCCATCCCTTGAATTCTTCCTCTTAAAAATTCTCCCCAAAATCTTCGTCAAATTCTGTTTTAATTCCGTATTTTTAAAACCCAAATTTCAACCTTTACAGCACAGGAAAACCTAAACCCAGACGGAAGTATTATCAGATTCATTATTGCCACAAGTTCACGATCTCGACACGGTCCGTAGGCATTATTCCGCGCTTGCGCATAACAGGCCTCGAGGTTGACGCAGCTGTTCCCCTCGTCACTGAACTTTGATGCCATTTACAAACACCTCGAACAAACATCACAACATCAATTGTGGTGTGGATATCAACCTTGAGATATCTGACCTAGTGCTTTTATTGTCATTCCGTTGCCATTACTGTTTAATGAACGTAACAATGAACACGTCAGAGTCGAATTTCAAAACACATCGAATCTTCGTGGCCCTTCTAAAGTTGGTCGTGTTTAAATATCAGATAATTTATGGCACGTCGAATCAACAATTGAAAACTGCATCACAATGCTGCCAACTGAAACACATTATTCCCACACAAAAACAAATTACCTACCTGAAATTAGGCAAATGGATTCACTTTTATGTTTCAACAAATGTAGGCGAACTAGCTTTTTTAAATAAACTCACACCAGAGACGAAAAACGCTAACATGAAGGCACGCACGTATTTTCCACCCACGGATTCCAGCGCCGACTCATTCAAATTTTTCGCTGCAAGATCTGATTCGAAAACATTTGTTTAAATACAGAACACCACGATATAATACGCGCTGGGGTTAATAACAAACACACTCTGCTACTGTGGACGAATGGATGAGCTTACGGCACAATGAGAGCGACGTAGCTTC